TGTCATATAGCTGGAATCTTACAGTATGTAGCTTTTTCACATTGGCTTCTTTCATTTAAATGGTTCCTCCATGTCTTTTCATGGCTTGATAGCTCGTTTCTTTCTTGTGCTGAATAATATTCCACTGTGTAGATATACCACAGTTTACCCATTCACCTGCTGAAGGACATCTGGGTCTTTCCAAGTTTTGACAGTTATGAATAAAGCTGCTATACGCATCCATGTGCAGGTTTTTGTGTAGACATTAGCTTCCAATTTATTTATTTAGTTTTGCATTTACTAAAATCTTTCTTTTCTTTTTTTTTAATTAAAGTACAGTTACAGTGTGTCAATTTCTGGTGTACAGCACAATGTCCCAGTCATGCACATATATACATGTATTTGTTTTCATATTTTTTCATTAATGGTTATTATAAGATATTGAACATATTTCCCTATGCTATATATACAAAAGAAACTTTTAAAAATCTATTTTTATATATAGTAGTTAATAAGTCTCAAACTCCCAAACTTATCCCTTCCCACCCTCTTTCCCTGGTAACCATAAGATTGTTTACTATGTCTGCGTGTCTGTTTCTGTTTTGTAGATGAGTTCATAGTGTCCTTTTTTTTCTTTAGATTTCACATATGTGTGATACTTGATATTTTTCTTTCTCTTTCTGGCTTACTTCACTTAGAATGACAATCTCTAGGTCCATCCATGTTGTTGTAAATGGCATTATTTTATTCTTTTTTATGGTTGAGTAGTATTTCCAATTCATTTAGATAGATGCCAAGGAGTGTAATTGCTGGATTGTATGACAAGTCCATGCTTGGCATTGTAAAAAACTGCCAAACTGTCTTCCGAAGTGGCTGGCCATTTTGCGTTGTCACCAGCAATGAAGAGAGTTCCTGTAATTCCACATCTTCACCAGTATTTGGTATTGTCAGTATTCCAGATTTGGGCCATTCTAATAGGTGTGAAATGATAACTAATTGTTTTCATTTGCAGCTCCCTAATGATATAGGTTGTTGAACATCTTTCAATATGCTTATTTTCCATCTATACATCTTCTTTGGTAAGGTGTCAAGATCCTTGGTCCAAGAGAGAGAGTATAACTCAAGTGGTAGAGTGCATGCTTAGCATGCACAAGGTCTTGGGTTCATTCCCCAGTACTGCCTCTAAAAGTAAATAAATAAGTAAACCTAATAACCTCCCCCTCCAAAAGAACCAAAAACAAAAACAGTTTAAAAATAAAATAAATATTTTTTAAATAGAAAAAGACCTTTCGGCCATTTTTAAAATCACTTGTTTGTTTTCTTATTGTTGAGTTTTAAGAATTTGTTTTATATATATATATATTTTTTTTTAAGAATTTTTTGTATGTTTTAGATAACAGTCCTTTACCAGGTGTGTCTTTTGCAAATATTTTATCCCATTCTGTGGCTTGCTTCTCATTCTTTTCACGTTGTCTCTTGCAGAGCAGAAAGTTTTAATTTTAATGAACTCTAGCTTGTCAGTTCTTTCAAAGATCATACCTTGACGATATATCTGAAAAGTCATCATCATATCCAAGGTCATCTAGGTTTCCTTCTATGTTACCTTCTGGGAAGTTTATTGTTTCACATTTTATATTTAGGTCTGTGACCCATTTGATTTAACTTTCGTGAAGGGTGTAGTTTTTGTTTAGATTCAGTTTTTTTTGCTTGTGGATGATGTCCTGTTGTTCCAGCACCATTTGTTGAAAAACATACCTTTGCTCCATTATATTGCCTTTGCTCCTTTACAAAAGATCACTTGACTATATTTATGTGGGTCATCTCTGGGCTCTCTGTTCTGTTCCAGTTGAGCTATCTGTCTATTCATTCACCGACTTTCTCCACCTCAACTGCAGTTTAGTGCCTGACATTAATTTTAAAGAAATTTCTCAGTGATTATTGCTCAAATATTGTTTCTGTTCCTTTCTCTCTTACTTTGCATTGTGCTATTCCTGTTACGTATACGATACAACATTTACAGTTGTCCCACGGTTCTTTCTGTCCTCTTTCTCTTCACTTTTAAGTTTTAGAAGTTTGTATTGTCACGTCCTCAAGCTCAGAGATCCTCTCCTTGGTTGCGTTCAGTCTACTGTGAACCCATCAGACGCATTCTTCATTTCTGTTACAGTGGTCTTGGTCTCCAGCATTTCTCTTTCATTCTTTCTTAGAATTGACACCTCTCTGTTTACCTTATCCACCTGTGCTTGCATGTTTTCTACTTTCCCATTCAATCCCTTAATATATTAATCAAAGTTAAAATTCCAGCCTTGGTGCTGTATCTGATTTTGGTTCTGACGCTTGCTCGGTCCCTTCACACTTTGTTTTTGCCTTGTGCTGTGCCTTGTCATCGTTGAAAGATGGACAGGAGGCATTAGGTAAAGGGAAGGAGGGTGAAGAGGCCGTCAGCAAGGGAGTGGTGAGGGGTGGGGGGAGGGGAAACGCTCAGTCCCGTGACTGGTCTCAGTCTTTCAGGAGCCTCGTTCCCGGGCCGTGAACTTCACAGGTGCTTCTCAGTTTTCAGGTGGGACAGGCTGGCGAGAGAGGGCTGGAGTGGGCTGCTTCCCTTCCCCCAGGTCAGTTAGGCTCTGATGAAACCCCGGCGGGTCAGGCGCTGGTTAACGGGTTTGCCCTGAGGTCAAGCCCGTCAAGCAGGGCAGCGCTGGCCGTTGCCCGCGGCCCCGCCAGCAGCGCGAGCCGAGCTGCCCCGGACGCTGCGAGAGCCCGGGCTCAGCTCGTGCCCGTGAGACTCGTGAAAGCGTGGCGGTCGGAGTGACCGGGTCCCCCTCAGTTTTTGACTCTCAGACTCGTCCACGCTGAGCCTCCAGGATTCGTTCCTTGAAGTTTCGGTTTTCCTACGAGGACGCCAGTTCCTGCAGGGGTTCCTGCTCTGGTAAGTCGTGATTACCCACCTGTCTCTTCAGGTTTGAGAGCAGTGGTTTGCCCTGTGACCTCGCTTCTCTGACAGATGTAGGGAAAGTTGCTGGTTTTTCAGTTTGTTCAGCTTTTTACTGGTTGTGAGGGCAGAGTGGCGACCTCTAAGCTCCTTCCATGCAGGACTGGAAAG